TCCCAAGAAGCATAAACTCCTTGGTTTTGGCGCTCCTGCCTCATCCTGTTTACCTCACGATTAGCCGGCCTCCGCGACTATAACTCCCGTTTCTGGGGTGGGTGACATAACCAGACGAAAAGTAGAACTAATGCTCTTCACATTGTCACAATCACACACAACTAGTGGACATTTTGGTGGGGGGAAAGGGGGGGGGGTGCTGTTTTTCCTGGGCCTTTTGAAAGATGTCAAAGTTACGCAACCCGCTAGAAACACACCCGTTTTAAGGCTCAATCAAGGCTCACGGTTGCATGAAATCAAACCCAGTCTTCCATATGCTTCACAGCCAGGCAAAGGGAGCATCTGTAGATTTGTCCGAAGTGCATTGACTTTATTATATCCGTGCACATACCAGAGACACTCTTGGTGGTGTACACAATTTGTTTTGTGTTCCAGACGTGAGAGAATGTTCGAAACATAATTAGAAATGCTTTAACCCGTTTATCTAGCATGGTTTTAAATCACCAAGATTTCACGGGCTATACACATCTAGATGACACCTGTGGCTACCTGTAACATGCACCTCTCTATCTCTCTGTCTCTAATTGTATGAATGTGTGTGTGTGTTGATGTATATTTGTTTTGTCTCTTCGCCCGATCATCATCCGTCCGTCTTCCTCTACTCCATGCATCTGGACGTTCGCCTGTATGTCTTTCCGTCTCTTTGCCTGTCATCTGACTGTCTATCCTGCCACCCGTCTGTTTGTCCGTCCACCTGATTGTCTATCCTGCCACCCGTCTGTTTGTCCGTCCACTTGATTGTCTAACCTGCTACCTGTCTGTTTGTCCGTCCACCTGATTGTCTATCCTGCCACCCGTCTGTCCGTCCACTTGATTGTCTATCCTGCCACCCGTCTGTCCGTCCACTTGATTGTCTATCCTGCCACCTGTCTGTTTGTCCGTCTACCTGATTGTCTATCCCGCCACCCGTCTGTTTGTCCGTCTACCTGATTGTCTATCCTGCCACCCGTATGTTTGTCCGTCCACTTGATTGTCTATCCTGCCACCTGTCTGTTTCTCCGTCAACCTGATTGTCTATCCTGTCACCCTGTCTGTTTGTCCGTCTACCTGATTGTCTATCCCGCCACCCGTCTGTTTGTCCGTCTACCTGATTGTCTATCCCGCCACCTGTCTGTTTCTCCGTCAACCTGATTGTCTATCCTGCCACCCTGTCTGTTTGTCCGTCCACCTGATGTCTATCCCGCCACCTGTCTGTTTGTCCTTCCACTTGATTGCCTATTCTGCCACCCGTCTGTTTGTCCGTCTACCTGATTGTCTATCCATCCACTTCTCTAACCGACCATCCATCAACCCGCCTGTCCATCCCCCAGTCAACTTCTCCCTTCATCCATCCTCTGTCCATCGATAGTTCCATTAGACTTAGTCTAACTGGCTACCTGGACATATTCTTGGAAGTAAAGGTGGTCTCTATGACATTAAGCACGTCGACAGTCATGTGCTGAATGGCATATACAACATTTGGCTTCCACAAATAACCAGAGACACCTCAAAACCTATCAAATAACCCGTTCCTCTATTGTTAAGTTGACCTGTAGGACCAAGGACATAAGCACAGAATGTAAGGTGTCGTGGTCCGAGTTTGTCAAAGTTCACGAATTATTTAATATTATGAATCATCGTTACAAAGATACTACAAACAATAGATAACAAACTTATGTTATCATTCTGCCGTCACGCATTTTCTTGATGGTTATCATTCCAAGCTGATGTGTCATTGACACAGTAAATACACCGAATATGTCTTTGGTAAACACGGTATGAATCGATCGTAGCTAATTGATGGCTGATCATAATAAGGAACAACAACATTGGTAGAAGGTCACGGGCATATATTTAAATTGACCTGAGCTCACAGGCCGATCAAGTAATAAATGCTTTACATGTGCACATAACTCTTCGAGTCCCAGAGGGTTTAGCATCCCAGGCCCAAGGGGTAATAAAGAGTGAGGTAAAATCGGCTCATCTTGCGTTTACTGGGCTTCTAGGTAGGAACCTATGAACGTATGATGCGCTCCTTAGGACTCAAAGAGTTAATGGACAGTAAAGGCGGTTGACTGCGAAGCATCTGGCCTAACGGTAAGAACGAGACAATCTCCCAGCTCGCGATTTGATTCGAATCCTCGCTAGGTTGATGAAAGTTATTTTTTCCTTTTCTGTAGGAGGCAAAATTAAGCATCATAGCCTGAGCAGTTCTTTGTGTTTGCACTAGTTATTTTTGTCGTTGACCTGAGGCAATTTTTGTTGTTGCGGGGACCAAGTTCAACCCTGTTAAATTCATCATCATCAAGTGCTTGGCCGATCATGCCTCCACAATCCGCGATCCGCAACTGCGTGTATCAGTTTCTATTGACAGTCAACCTCTGATCTAATTGTGGTTTTGTTTTATTTGCGCCAAGTTATTGGCTTAAATAGTTTGTTGTGCCAGTAGTTTACGCTCGTTGTCCTCGTTTTTGGTTCTGTGGTCCTGGTTGGAAGTTCATTTTGTTTGTCGTGTCCATCTTCCTGGCTGTGCAAGTTCTTAAGCTGCACAAGTCATGTGACCCTATATCCTCAGGTTCATGAAATCTCTTTATCCGCCCTACACCGCAGGTAGTACAAACAGGCAATAACGACAGTTTTCTGTTTTAAGGCAGCTGTCTTAAACTATCGTCTTTAAAAATAATTGTTGCCATCCTAATATGTTACTAATTTTTTCGGTATTTGAAAGCCCCACTCCGGCTGGTGTGTGTGTGGGGGGGGGGGGGGGGGGGGGGGGGCTCATATATAAACCTACTGTTCAAGGGGGTTTTGGGACTTGCTCCTGGTGATTCTCATCCGAATGGTGGCACTTTGTGTCACTGGTTGTTTATCGCTCGTTGTGCGGTCCTGGTGGGGTTGAACTTCATTCCTCCACTCATGTCTTTTGGGGCGTTAATAAGTCTAAGCTGGTCAGAAAACTATAGCAGTCTACAGTGTGTCATATCAGTTCCCATACACATGGAAATCACGTCATTAGAAAAGAATGAAAACCATTTTTATTTTTTATAATATGCTGTACATCACAACTTTTGTTTTGAAACCAGATTTCGTTGCGTTGTCATCCAAAAGCACAGCTGGGATTAAATTGTAGTTGCATTTGTGACGTGTTTATTTTTCCTTTATAAGCAGTATGACTTTGAAACACAATTCACAGGCGCGCGCATAGGTGCACACAGACACATGTATTGGTAGGTGCAGTTTAACGCGGCTGAGGTCAGCACCGATGGCTCAGTGGCTAGCGCGCTTTCGTGCTAGCTGTATAGTCATAGCTTTGGATCCCTGTCGTGGCGGATTTTAAGCTTCTTAGCTAGTTACAAACCTAAAGGTCAGTACTAACACATTTCCAAGGATGCAAAGATGACTAATGATTTGGATGTACCGTTAGCACCATATATCCAATAAGAATACATCTCCAGTTGTGATAATATGACCTTTGCCTTTTTTTTTTACTGTTAGGTCAACGAGGAATCTGTCATCTATACTGTCTGAATGTAACACTTTTTGAGGCCGTACAGAATGGCTGGGGGAGGGGGGGGGAGGAGATATCAACACACAGACACGTGTTGGCCTCTGATTTATGTATTCATGTTGGATTTATTTGCCCTTGATTGATTGATTGATTAATTCTAAAGCTTGGCATACTGTTCCAAGATTTATTAATTATACAGCTCCATTCACCTGCCTCTGATGTCTATCTCTTTCTGTCTTCTTTTACCCCACCAAGACATCACACAAGCGATAGACACCCGATAACACAAAGTGCCACCATGTGTATGAGGATCACCTATGGAGAGGTACCAGAAACCGCGTTCAGACATTAGACCATAATTTATGGCCGGGCTATAGTACGGCTCCTGGCAGGAGTTAGAGTAGCGCTTCAAATAACAAAAAATTTCATCCCATAAGGGGATGTCAGGATAGTTGTATGTATGGTGCCTCTGATGGATGTATTTTAAAGTTGGATCCTTAGATTAAGCGTATCAAAGTTGGGTACCCATACCTCTGTTTTTTAAATTCCACTCTTGGATACATTGACTGCTGAGTTAGAGACGTGTGCCAGAGTGTGCCGCACCATCTTTGAATTAAAAAAAAAAAAAACGCAGAAGAAAGCATAACAAACGTCGTATGTTTTGACACTTATGTAATGAGGGAATTTCCAGGAAACCCCTTCTGACGCGGCAGACATGCTAGTGAAAAAACGGGCTAAACAAAATAAGATAATAACGAAGAGGAGTGAAAAGTCACCAGCCCAAACTCCGTACAGAAACCATAGAAGTGGTGGGCATCATTGTACAGTCAATAAACTTTTTCTACGCCTTTGGGCATATTAGGTACATAGTGCAAGATCTGTATTTTATAGAACAATCGGCACTTCGTGGGTGATATGGTTAGCATCATATCGGCCACCTTTACTTCCTGTGACTTTACATGGTACCCATTTAAGGCTAGGTTAACCTAGGATCTGTCGTCCCAATGTGGAATGCAATTTTTAGGAATTTTGAAGCCACACTCTAGGTTTTTCAGGGGGCCTCTATTATAGCAGGGCCTTAAATATGGCTGAATGGGGTTTCCGGGACTTCTCCACGGGTGATCCTCATTCGCATGTTGACACTTTGTGTCACCGGGTGTTTATCGCTTGTGTGATAACCTGGTAGGGTACTACTTACCCACCTAGGAGACAGGGTAATGTAAACAAAAACCAAAAAAGTCCTCCGTCAATACCCGAACCCACGACTTTCGGATTGGCAGGAGAACGTGAAGCCACTATACCACGGCAGCTTCCCGGTAGGCATCGTTGATACCTTCATTATCATGTATTACTCTCATTGTTGTTGAGACCTTTCCTATCGCGCATTACTCTCATTGTTCCTCGTTGTTTATATTATAACTTAATTAAAGACGTGTGTGTTTTCTATTTCCAGCCACTACGTTACCGTGAAGGACAAAGACGACGCACTGCCCTAGTCACATACAACCCCAACCTGACCGGAAGCAGCAGCCTGGACTATGAAGACCTGGGTGCCATGACCGATGTTGAAGTGCCCACCTTCCAGCGGGGCGGGTTTTCACGCACCAGCTTACCCATTGTTCGCAGTGCCTCTACATCACTGGACAGACCCTTAGGTATTCAGTGTGTTGTGTAGCGTATGTCTCATACCTGACCGGCTCGCTAGGGTAGTTGGTTAAACCTGACTTCGCGGCAACCGGGTGACGAACTCCTTGTTGTCTGTGTTAACGCCTGGGGAGTGGCAGAAAAGCCACATCTCTCCCAGATTGACTGTATCTATCATGGAATCAAGGCTGAAGGGTTGTGATATCCAAAGTACCAAGCTTCTAGATGTTTTAAAAAAATGTCACATACATACATACATACATACATACATACATACATACATACATACATACATACATACATACATACATACATACATACATACATACATACATACATACATACATACATACATACATACATACATACATACATACATACATACATACATACATACATACATACATACATACATACATACATACATACATACATACATACATACATACATACATACATACATACATACATACATACATACATACATACATACATACATACATACATACATACATACATACATACATACATACATACATACATACATACATACATACATACATACATACATACATACATACATACATACATACATACATACATACATACATACATACATACATACATACATACATACATACATACATACATACATACATACATACATACATACATACATACATACATACATACATACATACATACATACATACATACATACATACATACATACATACATACATACATACATACATACATACATACATACATACATACATACATACATACATACATACATACATACATACATACATACATACATACATACATACATACATACATACATACATACATACATACATACATACATTCATGCACGCACGCACACACACACACACACAATATACACAGACTCACCCAAATATAAGCACACACTCTTGGGGCGATAATAGGTTGAAATCCCTACCTCCATGCTTCGCCACCCCCTCCGTTCTCTAGCCCTCTGGCATGGTTATGGTTGATCGTACCTCTTTACATCTTCAACAACATGCATGAGTTGGTGTTCTAATGCCTCTGTATGTTACACATATTGCGATCTCTTGGTTGGTAAGTCCTTTTAGTTAAAACTCTTGGAGATGGCAAGGTGTGACACACAGACGTGTTAGCACAGGAACTGATACACATTGTTATAAATAAAAAGAAGCATGAATCTCTCATGCCATTCAGCAAGATATTGGTGCTAACATTTTTTGCAGGTCAAACAAAAGGCTGTTTATAATCTTCCATCATTGTTTTACTTCGTCTCCCTTTCTCTAATTTGTTTTCCATAGTTGCACCACATGGTCCAGTTTTTTTAGTTGTCCTAATGGGGCCTAAAGATATCCCTGCCTGTTTCCAGCGTTTATGATAAGTCCATTTATGTTTAACCTCTTTGTTGTCTGTACAATAGTCCTTTTTTAGCCGCCTGACAGCCTGCTTTTTCAAGGACGGTTTCTTTGCTGTCTGAGCTTTAGTTCGTTTCTTTGTGGTGATGATTTTCGCCTGAGTTTTGATTTATTCGCATCATCATGTCAGCGGCATAGGCGGGCGGCTTCCAGTTTTTGGGATTGGGAATGGCAGTCCTGAAAAGGACAGCCATATGTGCCTGGGGCGACCTAGAACGGGAAGGGTGGGGTTTTCTGAGGGTCTGGCTTCTGCTGTCAGGTTCTGACGGCGTCTGTGCGTCTTCTGTTTTAGCGGGCTGGCTTTTCCTGAAAGATGGCGGCTCGGGTTTTTGGCTTCTGCTACATTAGTTGTTTCTCTTGGCGGGAATGGGCTGTTGTGGTGTGTTTCATCGCTTATATTCCTCTTGCTCGTAGTGGGCAGTCTGGTCGGCTAGAAATTGTTCTTAATCGAAGTAGTATGGAGCGGGTTCCTTGGGCGGTTCACTTTCGGTTTCATTAGACTCCTGCTGCTTATATTTATATGCTAACACAGCTTTGCTTCATGTGAAAAAAAAGTATTCATAGTTTGTTCCATATAAAATTTTTTTTAAAAAATCAAATTTTGCCTTGCATACAGATATTTTTGCTGGGCTTTAAACACCACTGCCCCTTTAGTGATGCAAGTAAAGGACTCTTTTCCATCCCTTTAGAGTACTGGGCATATAAGGCTAGGCCTATACTTTATAGAACAGTCAGCACTTGGTAGGTGATGTGGTCAGCATCATGCTGCGCCCCCTTACTTCCCAGGTGGAAAATGTAAAATGGGGAAGGACACTGCACCCGGGCCTGAGGAGGCTAGAAATTCCTACAGGAGGGACATGAGTAATGCAGACCTGGTGGGGATGACTGCCTGTTTCAACCAGAGCATTAGGACAGCTTCAGTCCCAGAAGAGCTACTTGATTCCACTTCCTAAGCCTGGCAAGGATCATTCAACACTCAGCTGCTTTAGGATCATAAGCCTACAAAAAAAAAAAAAAACTGGTAAAGTGCTGGAGAAGATAGTGGCGGGTAAGCTACATGAATTTTTGGTACAGAGAAAGCTCAGGAGGTTTGGGAAGTTACCAGCCGGGGAAAAATATATGGTCAAATGCAGCCACTTTTGCCTTTGACGCCTTTCAAGGTTTCTATAACAGACAGGAAACCATGGTAACGGCACTTGATTAAGGAGATGCTTACAACAGAGTTAGATTTAGTATCTTGATGGCAGCACTCATGGATAAGGGAGTCTGTCCTTGGTTGGTGAAGTGGATAGCAGCTGTTTTGTGTTCTTATCAGGTAGCTCTCCACCTGGATTCATGGACCTCTGAACCATGTATTATAGCTCCAGGACTACCACAGGGATCTGCAATTTCACCTGTTCTTTTCAATGTTTTTACTAGCCAGATTGTGAACCTGGAGTTGGCAGAATATTGACATTCACAGATGGTGTTCTTGCATTTAGGTAGGGGAGAGATCAGAATCAAATAGCTCAATAGTTACAGGCGATAGTAGATAAGGTGTACAGAGATGAGTACTGTAATATACTCAGAAAGCAACTATCCTGTGGTTTTCTTTGGACAACAGAATTGTTAGAGCTGATATACCAGCCCTCAAAATAAAGGACAGCGACATCAAAAGTGACAGCAGACTGCGGTATCTGGGAATCACCTTTTACAGAATTGTCAGATATAGGGGGTTGTGTCATAGGCTCAAAAAGGTCTTAATGCACTAAAGATTATGGCAGCAATGGACATGGAACAGAGAATGCTGTTCATACTATACCAACACATAATCGTCTCTTTGATTGATTATGGACTGGGGTTGCTCACTGTCTCGAAGAGTCAGCTAATAATACAGAATGAATCTATGCAGGTGATCCTGGGATGTACAAGAGACATCCCAGGTGGTGAATGTGATACATTCTTGCAGATAGGCCCCAAAAAAAGTTCCTGGGAGCTCATAGCAAAAGCCAGTGGCTAATCTTTAGTGCAGGACAGCCTAGCATATGATATCAGAACATCTAGCATGGGAATGGAGGTGTAGGCGGTCACTACAGTTTGCCAGATGCAAAGACATGTCTTAATTGTAACATATTCTCAAAGCATACTGAGAAAGGTGAAGACGGTATTGCTTTGAGCAGAGTGGAAAGCTTCACTTGGAAGGTCACGGGTAGTGAGCATAGGTTGGATGTTTTCTATAGGCAATGCCTACGTGGTGGGGAATAAACAGACAGACAGATTGGCAGGATCTGCGCCACTGGGTGGTGAATCGATTTATGACAAGGCAGATGTGGTCAAGGCCCTTTTGGAACAAACAATGAAGTCGGAAGCAAAACTGGATTATAAAGCCTGGAAAGAATGGTGACCGGGTTTGTAACCAGAGAGTGTGGCCGGCTCACTACACTCAGAGGAAAGGCAAGATGAATATATAACTAGACTACGACCAGTTCCATTAGTATTGGAACTCTGCGCTGGCTGCTGAAGATGGGGACAGAGCGCTTATGGAATGCCCTAAGTGCTTTGATGTCGATTCCTAACTCAGCCTCCCCAGGACTTTAATGTGGTACACATTTAGGGCTTGGTTGACCTAGAGGCCAAGATTATTTTTGAAAAAAGTCCTGCAACCATTGCGGCTTCACGGTGGTGCAAGTGGGAATATAATATATTAAGTTTTGTATAGATTCACAGACAAACTAGATGTCTAGATGTCAGAGAAATTGTGAGACAGGCAAATCATACTGGTTTAGGTCCCAATGTGTGTCAGAACTGTATGTATACACATTTGGTTGGCTGAATAGGCATATGTATGAATAGATATATAGTGAGTTTGATACATAGCCAACAGTATTAATATATGGATGGCTGGATACACAGCTGAATGATTATGTTTATGATTGGTTGAATGCACAGGTGGATGGACATATGAACTGCTGCAGCGATGAATTTCCATGTCATTTAATTACCTGAGCAATGAACACCAATACCCTGGACAGATAAGAAGAGTAAAGAAGATGTCTTGAAAGAAACTAGCTCATGAAGAGAACTGATTGCACACATCAGACAGAGACAATCTACATTCTTTGGTCATGTGATGAGAAGGAGAAAACGAGTACATCATGACAGCAGGAAAGTTGGAGGGGAGGAGAGGCAGAGGGAGACTGAGAGGACAGATGCTGGACAGTTTAACATCATGGCATCTGTGTCAGAGTTGATTAAAAATACACAAGATAGAAGGTTGTGGATAGACATGACTACCAATGCCCCAAGGCATGAACACTAGAGAAGAAGAATAAAAGTACCAATGTATAAGTGATGGTTAATTTTATTGTATTTACTCATTTGTTTTCATTGTCAACAGGCTTGGTTTTCCTTGTATATGGAGATCAGACGAAGAAGTCCTTGTTGCCAAATGAGATAACAACACTGGACACTGTCCGAGCCTTATTTGTCAGAGCTTTCCCTGACCTCACCTTGGAGCAGTTAGAAAACCCTCGGAAGAAAATATATCTCCTGGATCCTGCGACAAACATTTACTTCCAGCTAGAAGA